AACATTTTAAAAACCTGTTGTTGTTGTTGCTGTTGTTACTACTACTACTACAACATTTATATCCTACATTTTCTCCAAGGAGCTCAGAATGGCATACATAGTTCTCTCCCTCTCTATTTTATCCTCACAACTGTGGGATGTATCATCACTGAAACAGTCAAGTACAACATTATCCTGTTGCCTAGAGTGGACACACAGGGGAATGCTGCTCCAGAGAGGGAGGACTTCCTGTCATACCTGTTCTGGAGCCTCCTCCCCTTGTGTGTGACCAGGTAGATGGGCGTGACCCTAGCAGACCCTGTAAAAGGGCTAGCCACGCAACCATCTTCCCTTTTTCCGTTTACTCCTTTCAGACTTCTCTCTTGGACCTCCTCCTCTGGCTCTTAGCCAGCACATGGCTCATCCTTACAGAGGATGGAAGCCACAAGGTAGAAAGTCTGAGGCCTAGCTCAGACTTCTTTTCTCTACAACTGTAACTGTAACCACAAAATAAAGCCTGCCTTCAGATTACTACTGTGAACTGAATGTAAGTAAACTTTACTCTTATTTTTAAAGAAGATTGTTGTATTATTGTGTTTTTAAGAGGGAAATAAAAGGGGAAACTTAGCAGGAACAAGCCAGACTGGACAAACCAGACTGGATTGCTCAATTTAAAGTATTCTAATGGATCCATCAACTTGCTTCCAGCAATCTGCAAGGGAATGTGCTCTGCTACTTGCTCACTAGGGTGAGTGAGGAGGGATAATATTTAATCAATAGATCCTCTCCTACTTCCCTCAACATTCCCACAACAACCACCCTATGAGGTAGATTAGACTGAGAGACTGTGACTGACTCAAGGTCACCCAATGAGCTTCATGTCAGAGTGAAGATCTGAAGCCTGGTCTTTTGGGCCTCTATGTTTCCCTCTTAACAAAGAAATCACTCTCATACAGTTTAAGTAAAGAAGAAAATATAAGGTTTGCTAACAGCAGAGTGTCTTGCCAGGATTCAGCAAATACAGTGATGAAAATCAGACAATAATCCTTAAAAGTCCACTTCACAATGGAGTACACTCTCTGGAGAAGAACTCACAGACATCCTACTCCATTGCAAGAAAGAGTGTGCAGTCACAGCGAGGAAGACGTAGAGATTAACACATTCTCTCCTCCCCCCCCGCCCAGATTTGGGGATATGACATCGAAGAGTCCCCTCTATATGGGTTCTGAAACTCTATGGTGCCATTGCCCCTGTTTGTGACTATCTAGCAATCATGTATTTGTAATTTGGCTGCAGATCTTCACACACTTCCTTCCTTTGAAAATTCCTAGCAAGCTGGCAGTGGGGGAGGGGAGCTTTTTTGTTGAGGGGGCCATATTTACTCATGGGTGGTGTGCCATGGGTGGGGAGGGTGTGTGGCCTGACAGACAGAGATGTCTGGAGAGTTGCACTTAACCTCTCGCCTGAGGATCCCCATTTCTGCCATAGAATGATCTCAGTACAATCTTTTCATTTTGCGTGCGTGTGTGTAAATTCTGCTCAGGGTTTGATTTTTCCTTCATCTTTATTACACTTTGCTGTTCCACCCAAAAGACCTGAAGGCAGGTCCATGACTGGTTGGTTGACATATTTCAGTGTAAAATCAGTATAAGAGCAAGAATCTTCATTTCGTGACTTATCCACTAGTGAAGAGTGATATGAGTCAGGCAGACCTCCTAATGGAGGCTTATCCAGATATTGGGTACCACAGCTGAGAAGGCCCTATCCTAAATACCTACCTGCCACAATTCTGAAATCATGGGAACTTGAAGCAGGGCAGCAGAAGAGGAATGATGCTGTAGTCTGGAGCAAGATCATGTGATTGTGGGTACATCCAGAGGTAAACTTTCTAAACAGTTTAGGACAGGGGTATTTTTGCACAAATGCGGTTTAATGTATATGTAAAGTGATGCACGGAGGGACGCGGGTGGCACTGTGGCTTAAACCACAGAGCCTAGGGCTTGCCAATCAGAAGGTCGGCGGTTCGAATCCCCGCGATGGGGTGAGCTCCTGTTCCCCGGTCCCAGCTCCTACCAACCTAGCAGTTCGAAAGCACACCAGTGCAAGTAGATAAATAGGTACCGCTCTGGCGGGAAGGTAAACGGCGTTTCCGTGCACTGCTATGGTTCGTCAGGAGCAGCTTAGCCATGCTGGCCACATGACCCAGAAGCTGTACGCCTGCTCCCTCGGCCAATAAAGCAAGATGAGTGCCGCAACCCCAGAGTTGTCCACGACTGGACCTAATGGTCAGGGGTCCCTTTACCTTTAAAGTGATGCACATTGGGACATAAGATCCTATATTCACAGATACATTAATGGGGTATGAACTAGCAGTGACTGGCCAGGAGAGGAATCATGACATCATAGTAGTTAGCTCCATGAGAAGACTGTTTCATTGTGCACCAGCTGTAAAAGAAGAAGAAAAAAGGGGGATGCAAATTTAATGTTAGGGATCATTAGGAATAGGATCAAAAACAAATCTGGCAATATTATAATGCAACCACTCATTGAATACTTTGCACATTTCAAAAAGGATATTGTAGATATCTGCAAAGGTGCAGAAGAGGGCAACTCAAATGTGTGAGGGGCTGAAGCAAATCTCCTATTAAAAAAAATAAATCAGCATTTAAGGCTTTTTAGTTTAGGAAAAAGAAGAGTAAGATGGGATGCAATGTATAAAAAAGATGCATGGTGCAGATGAAGTGGATAGAGGAAAGGTTTTCTTATAATACTGGAATCTGAAATGGAGGGATGGCATCCAGTTATGCTGGATGCTAGAAGGTTTGGGGCAGAAAAGAATAGCACATTGTTTGTTTATTTATTGAATATATATCCTGCCCTCCCCTCGGGAAGAGCCTATGAAATGAAACTATGGAATTTGCTGCTACAAGATGTAGCGAAGGCTGCCAAACCGGACAGCTTTCAAAGAGGATTAGGCACATTTAAGGAGGATTTGGCCGCTGGCCGCTGGCTGCTAGTCATCATAGCTATGTACTGCCTCCAGTGCCAGAAACAGGATCCCTCTGCATACCAATTGCTGGGGAATGCAAGGGGAGAGATCGCTCCTGCCCTCGTGTCCTGCCAGTGGGCTTCCTACCCCACAGGCATCTGCTTGGCCACAGGCTGCTGGACTACATGGCTCGTTGGCTTGATCCTAAGGATTAAAACACACCCTCCAACATTTCTCTGATGAAAATAGGGACGTCCCATTCCATAATGGTAATTTTACTATTTATACCCCACACATCTTATTGGGTTGCCCCAGTCACTCTGGGCAGCTTCCAACATATAAACATAATAAAACATGAAACTTTTTAAAAATAAAACCTTCCCTATACAGTCATACCTTGGGTTACAGGTGCTTCAGGTTGCACGTTTTTGGGTTGTGCACTGTGCTGAACCTGGAAGTACCGGAACAGGTTACTTCTGGGTTTCGGCGCTCGCGCATGCACAGAGACACTAAATCATGCTTTGCGCATGCAGATGCGATGCTGCAGGTTGCAAACGCTGTGGGTTGCAAACATGCCTCCCGCTCAGATCATGTTTGCAACCTGAGCGTCCACTGTGCAGGGTTGCCTTCAGATGGCTCGGGGGTCAGATAGCTCCATACCCTCCAACATTTCTCCAATGAAAATAGGGACATCCTAAGGAAAAGTGGGACATTCCAGGATCAAATCAGAAACTGGGACAGCTTCCCTAAACCAGGGACATCCCTGGAAGACAGGGCCACTTGGAGGGTCTGTTGAAATCCTTTGTCTAAGTTTCCCACTACAGAAGTTTGAGGAAAATGATATCAAAGATGTGTTCTCTCTAGGAATTCAGCTCTCCTTAAGTCTTAACCCTTTTATACACTTGTACATTAAACAAAAATGGTCATTTGGGCTGTGGATTTTCCTCACAGTACTGTCAGGGTTGGGCTTGGGTTGGCAGATTTTGACGGAGGAGGAAGAAACGGAGTGGAGACTGAACTCTGGGAACCTGAGTAAGAGTAGGGTGGACCTGGGATGCTTGCTTTCACCCCTGGGGAGGGCTTGGAGCAGTCAAGCAGGGGCAGCAGCATCAGAGACAGCAGTGACTGAACTGGAGCCTGAACAGGAGTCTGCAGTCTTGTCACCTAATACTAGAAACTGCTGTCACTATTGAGAGCAGAGTCACCCACTTGGAAGACAGTGCACATTTAATGCTTTTTTAAAAATGTATTTTTATTAAAGATTTTCTTGGTTTACAAAAGTATGTGCAATGTCTCTCTCTCTTTTTTCTTCAAGTATCATTTTTTACAGATCAGTTTCATTTGTTGAGACACTGGGAAGAAAAGTGGGGAAAGGTGAGTGGGGTTGGGTGGCGATGTTTCTATTTTCCTTAATATATGTGGGGTTTTGCATCAGCATCGCTTGTGCAGGTTCTCTGCTATTCACTTGTGTTTCTTTGTTGGTGAGAGAGGTTGGGGTTGGCCTAGGGTGTGGTTGTTTGTTTATGAAGAGACAGTGCACATTTGCAATCCCAACATTCCTGTGAGTCGAGAGAGTTTCCCGAGTGAGTGGACAACACTTCACCTTTAAAAGCTTGGTGGGAGGGGGAATTTGTTGGGACATCTTCATCACTTTCATCTGGTTCTGAATTTCTTGCCCTGAACTCCTGAATCATGACTCTTGAGCACTTGGTCTGCTGCCTGTACAGTGGTACCTCGGGTTACAGACGCTTCAGGTTACATACGCTTCAGGTTACAGACTCTGCTAACACAGAAATAGTACCTCGGTTTAAGAACTTTGCTTCAGGATGAGAACAGAAATTGTGCTCCGGCGGCACGGTGGCAGCGGGAGGCCCCATTAGCTAAAGTGGTGCTTCAGGTTAAGAACAGTTTCAGGTTAAGAACAGACCTCCGGAACGAATTAAGTACTTAACCTGAGGTACCACTGTACTGTTGTAGAGTTGGAAGGGACCACAAGGATCATCTAGTCCAACCCCCTGCAATACAGGAGTCTTCCACTCAATGGGAGTCTTGAACCCACAACCCTGAGATTAAGAATCTCACACTCAAGCAACTGAGCTATCAGAGTGCTGTGCTGTCATCTCTCTGCCTACCTGAGCTCTGTGTCCACTTTAAAAAATGCTTTTGTTGATGTTGCCAAAATCAGTGGGATTTTTGGGTGGCCCAAGAAAGAAAGAAGAGGCCCCTGAATGAAGGATTAGCCACCCCTGTGTTAAACAACTGAGCCAGTGGCTATAGGAACAGATTGACCAGTGCTTGCCACAAACCAGGTTGAAAAATGCATCCTGATAACCAATGCATTGATGAAGACTTTCTAGATAAAATAATTCTCTGAAATGGAAAAATAGTTGAAAATAGATGACATCTTCAAGGTTCCTATATGCCTAAACTACAGCAGTACATTCCACTCAACTGTTACCTTATATGCAGGTGAGGTGATTCACAAGTACTGAGTATTTAAAATATTGTTGTCAGGTAAGAATTATTGGATTATATGAAAGTAGTACAGCATATGACTACCTCGGCATCTTTCGTTTCTAAGCCTGCATATTTGGACTGATTTTGAGAAAAACCTGCTAATTTTCAGAGATTTTACAGGTCATATAAAATCTCTGAAAATTAGCGGGTTTTTCTCAAAACCAGTCCAAATTTTATAACCAGAAAATCAGTATTATCAAAATCCTCATTTTTTCTTAATCTGTGGAAAAAAATTCTACAGAAAATTTGAGGATGAATTTGCATGCGTCTAGAGTTGCCATGACAACCCACTTGTTTACTTTTCCAAGGTACAGTCTAAACAGTGTGGGCAGCCTCATTTACATAGTGGTTTTCTACTGCCTTTTCTACTGTACTGTCTAAAGTCTGCACACAAACAGACATCAGAAGAAAGAGTTTGTTCTCCTCTGTACAAAATACAGCCCTAATACTTTCATTATAAACCTATATACGATCCTTTTTACAGGGAAACCAAATAAAGTGTTAGAAACAAGCTGCCACCATCCTGGCGAAGAACATACCCTCTAACTTTGTCCACACTGGAGCAAAATGTGGCTTTGCACCAGCCTGTCTTTCCATTCATGTAGGGGTGACATCCAAGTGACATCCTCCTCACCTCAGTGTTGTCCCAGATACCACCTCCACCCTACACTAAATGCAGTTTTTTTAAATCCTTGGAAAATCTGGAAAGTCCAAGACTGAAACAACAACAACACACATTTTGTAGATAAGTCCTATGTGTTCAGTTTTAACATTCCCATTGAAAAACATTCCGCTCTCTGATGGCTGCTGCATAAATTTACGTTTCAATGCCTACACATTAAGTTGCTTGATTTGATTTATTATATTTCTATTCTGCTTTTCATTCAAGTGAATCGCAAAGCGGCTCACAAACAATAAATAACAATAACATAAAGGAACATTGCAAACACAACACAAATCATATAGAACAATTAACAAATTATCTGTAAAACCCTTATAATCCATAAAGAACCACCCAGAAAAAAACTAAGAAGTAAGCTAAAGGCACAATTAAAACAAGTCATATTATAAGATTCACAAAGTACTACAGCATTCATGATCTGTAAAACAACACCAACAATATTAACAAAATAGCAGCCCAAAAATAGACTAAGCACTGTTAAGTTCTTACACCCACTCTTCACCACCACTCCATAATTTTTGTTCTATTCAGTCCATTAAAATACAAATGCACATAATGCCAGTGGCAACAGCTTCCTTCTGAAGGTTCTTTGGGCTATAGGTGGAGCAGCACAGGTAAAACCAACCACCCCATGAAGACAAAGTGTCTCACCTCTCACAGCTCTTTCTCTGGAAACAGCTGTGGGATGTAAACTCACTGAAGCAGTCAAATACAACGTTTCCTGTTTGCCCAGAGTGGACACACAGGGAATGTTGCTCCAGCCAGGAGGACTTCCTGTCACACCTGGTCTGGAGCATCCTCCCCCGGGTGTGTGGCCAGGTAGATGGGCGTGACCCTACAGACCCTATAAAAGGGCTACCCACTCAGCCATCTTTCCTTTTTATGCCTTATTCCATCTTGCCTTTTGCTGTCTGCTGGCTCTCAGCCAGCAGCACATGGGCCCATCCCTCACAGAGGATGAACCCACACTTTTCTCTGTAACTGTAACTACAAGCTAAAGCCTGCCTGCAGGACCATACTGTGAACTGAATGTAAGTAAACCTTATCATTACTTTTAAAAGAAGACTGTTGTGTCATTATTGTTTATCAGAGGGAACTAGAGGGTATTTACCAGGAACAATCCAATCTGGACAAGCCAGACTGGATTGCTTAACTCAAATAGTTCTAATGAATCCCTCCTGCAATGTACAAGGGAATGTGCTCTGCTACTAGCTCACTAGCGTGAGTGAAGAAGGATAACATTTAATCAATATATCCTCTCCTACTATCCACAACATTCCCACAACAGCTCCCTTACAAAGGCTCCTAGGGCTGGGGAGTGGGGCAAGGCAGGTGGGAAAAGCCATTGCCTGATGGCCAGCACAAAGTATCTGTCCCCTCAGTGTTCTGACACAGGTTGGGCCACACAGGGCAGTCCTTGGCTACTTTATGAGCCATGTCTCATACAGGTATATGCCAGCTCTGCTCATAGTTCCTAGCATTATAGCAGGCCTGGGGAACCTGGGGCCCTCCAGCTGTTGTTGAACTCCAACATCCTTCAGTCCCAGCCAGCATATGCAATGGTGGGAGATGGTGGAAGGTTGGAGTCCAACCAGGGGCAGATTAAAGCAACTGGAGGCCCTGGGCTAGGAGAACTTGGGAGGCCCAAACTAATAGCATCCAGTAGAGTTCTCATTGTTTGGTGAACCAAATGTTTCATCATCTCCCCTAAATGCCAACCACATTCTGCCAAAGGGGAATCACCTCAAAAACTCACTGAAGTGTGTGTCTCCAGTAATCCTGCTCTGCTCTGTGAGTTTTGATGTGAGCATCTGGCCACACTATTTTTGGTAAGTATGGTAGCATAGAGTTCATATGATTTAAAGAGTTTCCATGGGTTTGAACAAGATAAGCATGATGCCAATCAGCAAATCCAGTAGAAGCTAAAGCTGTAGTTGAGGTAGTTTGGTTAGAGAAAAGTTTGCACACAAAACAGTAGACTTCAGCTTTTTGTGGGAGGATACACTAGTCGTTCTCAAGGGTAGATTTCCCGATTTACTTTGGTGGAATAGAACAAATTATTTGAGCAGAACCAGGTCTGGTTTTTGTATGTCTGCTTCAAAGTGATAAAAGGTCCATCCCAGTGCTGACATTCTGATGGACCTTTCTCAATCCAGAAAGATATTTCCTTGTCATTCAATGTGGTCCATAAACCTACGCCATTATTGTATCTAAAATCACTAGCAGCATGCATGAACAGTTGGCATTTTTGTGTCTGCACTGAGATAATTTGCTTTGCTTTCCGATTCTTTTAAACGTTTTTTTCAGTTCATTATAAATTATTTCTCAATACTCTTTTACCCTTTTACAGGTCCACCACTTCTGCCTTGTGTTAATTCTTTGACTGTAGGTCCTGTCACTTCATTGTGACTTTCTCCAGAAGTTCCTGCACTTGTAGTGGTAGTTACTGACAACAATTCTCCTTGAAGTTCTTGGGAGGCTGTGTTCTGTATATAAACTGGTTGTTCTTCAGTCGGCTCACTAGATTTTCTGTAAACACAAATGTTCTGTATCTGAGGGATTATGCAGGACAGTTTCTGCTTGCTGTACAAAGCCATATGACATGACTGGCTTTAGACATTTGAGTGTTTCCTTCTGCTCTTTTGCCACTTTTGTTTACTAGCACCACTTTCATATCGCTTACTCATTACTATTTTCACAAAAAGTCAAAATTAAATATTTTTGTGATTCACTGTGATGTAGAAGAATCTTTGCTTGTTCTCAGAATGCATGCTATAATGATAGACAGTGATCTGAACACTTGCATTGCTTCATAGCTGACTTCAAAATTTGATTTTGAATAGCTTTAAAGCCTCCATGAGCTTTATTAAACAGTAAGTACTCATTTGTGTAACTATTATACAGTCATGGACTCATATGTCACATATTTAATGTTACAAAGCAACTGGGCCTAGATAGTAAAATCTGCCTGTTGTTGTTGTTTTAATTGGTAAGAAGTTAATGCCCTCCCTAGATTATGAGGCCCACTCAGACTGTATGTAAATCTGGCACTGAGTCTAATACTATCTGGAGAAGCACAGGTTTCACATCCCTGAATTACAGAGTCCCATCCAACAATCAAAACTGCACTCCCATCATCTCAGGCTGATGAGCAGCAAGTTATTTAATCTGTCTGTTTTAAAAAGGAACACTATATTTGTATCCTGCCTTTCTGTCCCACAGAACGGGACACCCAAAGCAACCAATGAAGCAATTTACAACAACAACAACAAACCTTAAGTACAAATAATAACATCTATCATTTGTGAAGGGGTGGAAGACAAGAGGAGAAACAAATGATTTGTGCTGTAGCACAAGTCATCTCATAAGGGCTGTTGATGTATGTGCATCTGCTGAGATGATGTCTGCTGCTACATGCAATGAACCAGAGTGGTTTGTGAATCATCTGGGCCTACTCTCCACCCCACTCCTGCCACACACTGTCCACATTCTGTTGTTATAATACACTGATGGATGGATGAATACATGTGCCAGCATCCCACGGTATCATGGAGCTAATTGGCAAGAGAGAGGTCACAGTTCAGTGCTAGAGAGCACCTGCTCTTCATTCAGAAGATGCAAGTGAAATTCTCTTGTACTTCTTCTTGGAAATTGGGGTGGCAGGAAGGGGTTTTCATATAGAGTAAGGGACTGCCAACTTCCTAGAATCTAGGGAGGGCAGCCCCCTCAAATATTTTTTGGGGGGCCAAAGGGACCTCAGCTCCTGGAAGATGACTCCTATGGCCTGGGGAGTGCACAGATGGTGGACACAGATATATTCTGCTTTGGCACATTTCTCACCCCCAATAAAAAACATTGGGAGCACAGAATTGTGTTGCCCTTCCTACTCTGGAACAGGTCATAGGATGCCTCTTAAATGGCCTGTTCCAGATTCTCTCCCATGATCCCAATGTTCTTCTGCCATCCCAATCCAGAAGAACCTTTCTTTCCATGACACAGTGGAAGTGTAGTTGTGTGTTAGCACTGATAGAGGCTCCTCTGCCAAAGCTTGGATTGAGGCTTGGACCCTGAAACGATTTGCCTCTGAGTGTTCTGCACCCCATTACAAACCATTACTGAACCCATCCTCCAGTTTCTACTCTTAACCACATTTTTATTTAAAATAATTACCATTCATACCAACTGAACTTACTTCCAAGTATGAAAACTTACTGTTGCTGCCTGAGGCCCAATTCTGTTTGTTTGTTTTTATTATTTATTTTTTAAGGGATTTGGTTCTGTGCCCTTAACAGCCATATAAGAAATCAACATTCAACAAGTGCTGCTTTTACTGACATGGGCAAATCAGAACGGAACATCCGCTAACTTCTGCCTGCCCTGGTGCTGCTATGAGCACAAACCTTCTGCCCATAGAACGACAGCAACCGTCCCTTCAGGGGAAGAAACATCCTTTTAAATCCGAGTTGTCTCCCTTACATTACACTACTTTTGGGGTTTGGAATGGTTCTGCCCGTGCCTGTATTTGCAATGCAGCCCCAATATATCAAGCCAAAATTCCTGTAACTTAATCTGATGATCGCGAAACGGAATTCCCCCCTCTCTTTAAACTAAAGACTACCTGACATGACACACATACCACAAATCTTTGTGACATGCCCCGCCATGTTTCAGAAGCAAGTCCCCTAGAACTCAGTGGGGCTTACTTCTGGGTAGGCACGGCAAGGAGGGCCCTCGACTAGTGCGCTTTGCTGCGAGACTAGGGTTGCCATTCTGTGCGCGCTTATTTGGGAGCTAATGCCGTCGAATCTAGTGTGATTTCCCTCTGAGTAAAGCTGCACAGGCTTGGGTTATTTATTCCCAAAAGGAAGCTTTTTTGTTGTTCTTCTTCTAAAAAACAAGGTGCAAAACAGCAACCTGGGATAGGTTTGTAAAGCACATGGCGTTTGTACGCAGCGATCATAATAGATCAGACGCTTTTCTGCAGCTCCCCAAATGTTACGCCGAATCGCTGAGATCAGGGATGAAGATGGATAGAACGTTTTGCCCGGAATATCATGAAGTTTCGCGGGTATATTTTTTATTATCAGTCTCTGTCCACGGTTTCTAGCCAACCTAATCAGAGAAAAACAGTTTATCCATCCAGCCCAACTGAAGATAATACTTCATGCCTCCGATGAAGCGAGTTTTGGCACACAAAAGCTGATGCCACAACAAATGTGTTGGCCCTTGTGGCTGCCGCATTACTCTGCCTTGTTTTGCTGCCACAGACTTACAAAACCACACATCTCTGTGGGGTGGAGTCGGGGGAGATGGGGTGTTTAAGGAGCAGGCAAAAGTCTGGTGCGTAACGGGAGAAATGCGCAAAAGCCTCGGCTGGCGCGTTGGAGACTCCGGGCTATGGCGAGAAATCCATTCTGCTACACTGGGGCGCAGTGAAGAAGCGCAAAGCGCTCTTAAGTTTAAGGAGAACTGGGAAGCTCGTTCTGAGCACATTTAGGTGAAAGGAAACCCTGTGGTTAATTTGAATGCCAAACTTATTTCCACATTTTAACGACACCGATAAGTGGCGACGGGGGGAGGAGGGGTGTCGTTTTGGAACACCGCAAATGCTGAACAAATTGGCCAGACGTAGCTTTAAATCCCACAAAGGCTCCAGCTAATTATTTAATTCTTATAAATATAATAAGCCGTAGGTGATATTTATAGCGTTTGTATTTCAAATTGGGGAGTCTGTCCTCTTTGTGTCTTTGCAACCCGAACACATTTGAGATGAGAAGGCTAAGAGCTCTGTTGTGGACCCTTTAGAGAACGCTTCTTTTCGAAAAGAGAGGACTGAGCTTTTAAGGTTGCATTTTTAACACGTTTCCTTCAAATTACATTTTAGCCCCGATTGCGTAAAGACAGATAACTCTATCTAGCTAGGGATTCAAAAGGAGATTATTATTTTCATCTCATTGTTATAATTTAGTAAACATTTTGAGTCCTGCTATTGGAGTTTAGGGGGAATAGGAGAAAGCAGGAATAATTTCTTATTAAATAGCTTTTGATAGGAGTGCATTTTATTTGCCTCTGTACTTTATTCAGACGAAAGCAGAAAAGGCAAACGTCGATTAATTGGAGATTTGTGTCAAAGTATATACTGTGCGCATGTTTATATACTGATATATATTAAACGCTAAAGATTCGTACACGTTGGAAGCCTCATATTTGCCAGACCCGTGCATCCGTCTTAGCAAAGAAAGGATCACCAAGGCATGCGCCATTTAAAGATACTGGGCGCGATCCGTTCCAAACGAAGTGTTATTTAACCTCCCACGGATTTCAACAGAATTATATTTCCCACTTAAGACTTCAGAGGACTTCGTTTCGGCATCGAATTCCGAACCACTAGCACCACCCAGCCCAAACTAAGCAAGGCTACATCTCTTGGGCTTCCGCGGCAGGAGTCCAGTAAGTGCCTAACTTCCACCCCATTGAAATCGATGGGGCTTTTAAAAAGTGCTTCACTTTGTCAGGAAGGCGCCAGTGCCCAGTAGATTCCTCAAATCCAGAGAGGTGTGTGTGTGTGTGTGTGTGTGTGTGTGATTTCTCCTCCCCCTTCTGCAAAGGTGAGGGAGGGGGAAGTAAGTAAGTAATTTTTTTAAATGAAAAAACCTTTATTGTGCGCGCCTAGGTGTATGTACATAAATAAATAAATAAATATCCCTCAGTTATTACAGAAAACGGTACAATCACATCACTATAGATCTGAAGCATCATCATAATCATACAGACTTTTTTTCCCTTCAAGGAAGAAGAAAAACAAAAGATTTTTTTTTATAAAAAAGGGAAAAAAGAAACAACCAACCAAGGTAGCCCAATGACTGGCAACGCTCCATTTCCCGCTTAAGCCCCTGCCTCTCAAGACCGTGGAAAGCCCCTGTAGATCGGAAGATCTACCTTTTGCCAGGTTCAGGGGAGCAAGGGAGAGAGAGCGAGAGAGTTCGCTTAAAGGTTTGGATTCCGCCGCAAAGCAGAGGGATCCTCAGACCCTGATGGAGATGCACCAGATTTCTCTTCCCGAACTCCAACCCCGCTTTGTGTTTTTGTTTTTGTTTTTTGGGGGGAGAGAGAGAAATATCGGAATTGGCAATCTCCATTCGCTAGGTTCAGTTAATATCGTCCCACTTCGTAACAGAATGGCGACCTAATCATAGCACGGTAGAATTGGAAGGGACCCAAGAGCAAATCCGGATGGGGAATATATTATATCCCTCCTCCTCAACAGCTCCGGAGCGTTAAAAACAAAACAAAAACACCCCACACTTATTTACACAGTCTGTCTAGCCAACCCGGTCTTCAACGAGGCCAGCCAAGAGTCTCTCGTCAATTTCATCGCTATACATCGGGGGGAAAGAAACCGGCGCTGCCGTTTGGCCTAGGGAGCATTGGCCCTCTCAGGGCGTCAGGGCGAGGTCTTTCTCGTCTTTGCCCGAAGAAGAGGGCGAGATGGGCAAGTCCTCGTCGTCTTCGGAGCACTTGGCCGCGGCGGAGAGGGAAGCGCACTTGCAGCTGTGCGCCGCCGAGCCGCCTCCGGAGCGGTGCGAGCCGCTCTTGCCTTCTTTCTTGTGCTTGACTCGCCGGTTCTGGAACCAGATCTTCACCTGCTTCTCGGAGAGGTTCAGGTAGGTGGCGATCTCGATGCGCCTCAGCCGGGACAGGTACATGTTGGAGGCGAACTCGCGCTCTAGCTCCAGCAGCTGCGTGCTGGTGAAGGCGGTGCGCATCCGCTTGCTGCTGGGCAGCTGGCCCGACGTACTGTCTGCAGGAGGGACGGGAGGGTGGGAAGCGGAAGGAAAAAAGTGCAAAGTCAAGACCAGCTGGGTGCAAACCTCTCTGGGCTGACAAATCCCCAAACGACACAGCCCACAACGACTCCAGAATGTGTAACTGAGGCCCCGCAAACTCAAGTTTAAATGCCTTCCGGATGAAATAATCAGTTCGTTAAGAGTATTTAGGGATCTGGAGCGGAAGAAAATATCCCTCAGCCTATTTGTAATGGAGCGAGGGGAAATGCAAGGTTCTGGGCCCTTCCAAAAACCCACCACGCCTTCCATGCGCATTCCCCCAGCTACATAGGCATGCTGCGCTTGGCATCCCATCTGGTGACTTGATCCTAAATGGGGAATGCTCCCCTGAAGTCAATGAGGGCTTGCTAGTTTATAGGGTTGCAGGACTTTACGCGCACTTTGCTTGCCTGCGGTGGCTCAGAACGCGCAGCTACAGCTCCAGAGCCCCAGGCCTAGCCTCTCGAATAGAGAGTCAGGTACAGGCAAGAGTCTCTGGCACTGAACAAACCCACGTGGAAGCGATCTCGTCCCATTGCAAATGGCAATTTGTTAATGCAATCTATCGGGCTCCAATGACTCGCTAGGGACTTTTAATCTCTGGCACACCCAGCGCTGAACTGTGCGCACTCTCAGCTTGCAGGCTGTGTTAAACTTTGGGGTTTCGCGCAAGGAAATTGGGACAGGAGAGAGTGTCTGATCTGTCCCTCTCCGCGTTTAATACTCCGATCCTTCGATCGCTTACTCGCGAGTCAGTTCTGTGGCTCCTCCTTGCAAATTATAGACGTGAAGACCTGGCGCGCTACTTGGAAACAGCGAGACCAGCTTCCTAGCCCACGTGCGCGTGGATCGCGCTTGGCACCACCCTGGCCAGGCTCTCAGGCGAGGATCAACGCCCCCCCCCCGTCCGCGCACCCGTGTTTCCCGGGATTGAGCCCCCGACCCTTGCCGTCCCAGAGGACGTCCAGAAGACGACTCACCGACGGAGATGCAGTGGAAGTGCCGCGGGTCCGGCAGGGAGTAGGCGCTCTGGTAGAGGGTGGGCGCGTGGCCCGCTGCCGCCGCCGAGCCTCCGGGGGCCGGCCTGGCGGCCAGGGGCGACGGGCAGTACTGGGAGGCGAAGGGCGGGAAGGACGCCTTGAGGAGCGGCAGAGCGGGCGGCGGCGGCGGCGGATGCAGCTGCGAGGCGGCGGCCACGCACAGCGGGCACACGCAGAGCAGACCGGCCTTCCGCGCCGCCGCTGTGGCTCCCGGCGCGGCGGGGCAGGCGCCTCCGGAGGCGGCCGAGAGCCCGTGGAGAGGGTGCGAGGGGTGCACGGCGTAGGGGAAGAGCGGCGGCGGCGGCGGGCTGCCGGGCGAGGTGCCGCCCTTCTTGTCGCCGGCGCCTTCGCGCAGCACCAGCGCGTCCACCAGGAAGGACCGCGGCATGACTCCGCCCCGTCCAGCCTCGCCTGGGGCGCCTTGGCTCCGCGGCGGCTGATGCTTTTCTGATGCTGCTGCTGCTGCCCGGCGGCCAGCTCTTCGCAGGGCGCTGACCAGCGCCAGTGGTGCTGAAAGGGCCGCGCGGCCCTCTTTAAATAGCCCCTTCGGGGGCCATGTGATGCGGGCTGCGCCGGGAGCGGCCCCGGCCCCCGTCAATAGGCTTTTTGTTGCGCGCCTTGGCACCGCCGCTGCACGCTCCCTCATTATGCCCCTTGTTCGCCAAAGGGACTGCACAATGTCCCCCATTCTTGTCAACCCCACCCACGCTCCTCGGGCCGGCTTCCCTCTAGACACCCCCTCTCTTCTCCTCCCCTCCCCTCCCTCGCCCCGCGGCCAATCCCTTGGCTTCTTCGACAGCCTCCGAGGCCTCTGGTCTTCCCCCTGTTGCGCTCTTCTTTTCCTTTGGCCGGATCAGTCCGTTTCCAACCGGGCGCCTGCTTGTGACTGTAGTCCGCTCCCCCCACCCCACCTCGGTCAGCTTTCTTAGGCGGTTCTAGCCTTTGGAGAGCCTTTTTCCTAGTGCAGGCAACCCTTAGCCCACGAGCTGCAGTGCCGTGTTTTGCTGTGTAGGCATCCTTGGCTTTGGAAGAAAGCTCGTTCGTGTCACGTTCCAACTTGGAAGTTTTTAAAAAATCAACAAGTGTAGAGGAGGGCTTCATTGCCCGAAGTAACGCCGCGTGCCCGTGTGTGCATTAGGAAGCGGGAAACTATAGGATTTGCGCTCAAGAGAGCCTACGGTCCACACACACACACGCGCGCGCGCACACACACACACACACACACATATACACGAGTTACTTGCATGTGAGTTTCAGCAGCCGCAATTGGTGGAATCTGCGAACTGGTCCTAAACACGTTGTCTTGGAAAAGTCATTGCGCTTTTAGGATGGAAAGTGCCACGCTGGGATCCTAAGAATGCTTCTTGGGTTTGATTTCAATAATAACATTTGATTTCACAATAACATTTAAGATTTCAGCCTTCTATGGGAAGAAGAAATATTGATTTCTACCTCCCTGATTTCGATTTTCAAACAGCATTTAGAATCTGAACACATTTACTTTGAAATAAACCCAGTACAGTGCAATAAACCCTTTTACCTGAATAATTTATTTTTCCCCTTTTGAATCACCAGGAAGACTCCCCCGCGCGCGTTTATTTGTTTGTGTGTTTTTAAAAAGATATTTTACACAGAAGGTGCACTGCAAGTCAGTAAAATGGGTCCCTTGTGTGTGTAGAGGGGGGAGGGAACTGACTCACGTGATAAAGTAGCGTAGAATGTTTAGTAAGAACCTGATAGCAGCCTAGAATCACATCCTGATGTTTCGATCCATTACTTGGCTTAGATCTCATCATTCTAGACTTAGACCTTGTCGTCTTACTTAGACCTTACCACCTGACATAGAACGTGGAGAGGAAACCAGAAGGAGGGTGGTGCAAACTTGGCAATGGGTTAAAGTGGGCAATTGCAGTTACAGGTCCTTAAAAAAAACGTCATTACAGTTGAGAGTGATTACTGAGGCTGCTATCCTAGACACTCTTTTATGCTATCCTATGCCTCACTGAATGCAGTCAGATTTACTTAAAATCAGGCATGGCTAGGATTGCAGAGTGGGAGGTTAAGACAAAGCCTCCTGCAGTCTTACTTGCTTAGGAATACGACTCATTTATCGGGACGACGTCGATTGCTGGCGATGACAGTCAACAGTACAGCGCACAATAATGTAGAGTTATCAGTGGAGGAGATGCTTTACAAAACATAACAACTACTTGCTCTGACCCCTGAGGCACTTACAAACTACATTTTGACAGAGGGAAGCCACCTCAGTGGCACTTTCTTCTGAGCAAACAGGTTTAGGAAGGGTGGATTCCAATGTGACTCAGTGCCACTGAGATCAAGAAAATATTTTTACCAGTGAAGACTGGGGTGCGGGGAGGATGCTAACCTGTTCTCGTGGGTGCCACCCAGCCAACCCGGTGGCAATTTTTCCACGCGCTTCCACGGGGCGTGGTAACCTGCACGATCCATATCCTTTGGTAGGAAAACCATGCGATGCTCTCCACCACGTAAGCTGCTTAGCTTATGTTTTGCAAACCCGACCCCACACCCTCAGCAGCAATGCGGTGATAGGAGGTAAATACACCTTTCCCGTATATTTTCGAATGCACTCGATACTATTCCGTGCTGCACGATTCAGTGGGAGGGGTGTTGGGAGGTGCTGGCCTCTTATTTCCTGCAGATAATAAATGCAATGTCGCTGCGTAAAGAAACCCAAAGAGGTGGAACAGACCCTTTTCGTCCACATTCCTCATGTCTCCTTTCCCTCGGATGATTCTCGAGATTCATATTGTCTACCCTACTAGGCTTTTTTTGTGTAAAGCAGATCCAGGTTGTAAATCCACATGCCTGGGAGTAAGCCCCATGGAACTCAGTAGGATTACTTCTGAGAAGATATGCGTAAAATTTTGTTGCCAAGAGTTGCTTTAACCATTAGCATGGCTTACCCATCTCCCTTTTGCGCGCTCTCTGCCTCCAGCCACCGCCAATCTGGTGTTTTGATTTTAATTTTAATGATTTTAATGACGATGCTGTTTTTGACCCGTGCACCCGAGATACAGGAACGATCTGACATATGTTTAAATGACCCTGTCGTAGATCATGCCTGACTGGTGTGTCAACAGATGAGAGAATCTACGAATAGAAAACTTTTCTTTAGGAGTTTTTGCGAGAAATATAGCTGCGTATAATGTTCTGGGTGCCGGTAAATGCTTAACCGGTAGAGCGTGCAACCGTCTCCTTAATTCTGACTTTAGTGGCTTGTAAGTGGGACCCTGCACGCTTCTGATCCCTGCCATCCAGGAACCGTGACCCAAAGCTCCCATGCACTGGAGATTTCAGCGGATTCTTGGAATCTCCCAAATGTTCCACGATCCCTCGGTAAACTTTATTTGGCACCATAGTACTGACGTTCCCTTGCTCGTTAATGTTTCATAACTGTAGTCCATTGAAGTGAGTTCCATTGAGATCTGAGGGATTTGCTTCCACGCAAACATGCGTCTGCTTGAAGAGTATATCAATATTCCTGTGTGTCACACGTACACCACCCTCTCTCTCTCCCTCTCTCTCTCTCTCTCTCTCACTTGACAATATCTGGTAGTGGAATAAAACCCATAGAGTTGCTTTCTTTTCGTTGCTGAATTAGATTAAGACAGGTGTGAAGAAGAAAATGCATTTCTATGGCCAAGGAACACTGCGGCCGAATGCATTGCCCATTGCCAATTCTTCATAACCCTTTAAAAACAACAACAAATACGGGAAAATTCAACTGACTCGACTAGCTTCATCCGTAGGGAGACAGAACCTGAGTCTGCCAGACAAGCTGAATACCATTTATAGTTCAACTGGAGAGATAAGGCTGCGTGTGCGTATTTCCAGCCGGCATCAGTAGAACGTGGTGCTGTTGTTTTAAATGCCTAATTGCTGGATGAGGTCCATTAAAAAAAAACATGGAGTGTGGGAAGGGAATCTAGATGAGAAACGGGGATTGCTGTGTAAGAGAGAGGGGAGGTAGAAATTAATTTCGAAACTTGGACTTTTATCAAGCAGTTTTTCCGGAGCTTTGCTGTCGTCATTCATATATGCACGTATACATCCCTCCGAATATCATTAGGAAGAAAGAAACTATTGAATCGGAGCCACGCGGTTTAAGCTGCCTCTCGCCTGCGCTCTCACATCCAATAAAACCGCCTTAGTTACGCCTCGAGAGCAAGCGTTCTCCGGCTGGGAGAAGTCAGAATTCCTTCCGCTTTCCCGAAGGATCTTATATTCTGTAGGTGGAACGCGAATGTGTGTGTGTGTGTGTGTGTGTGTATTTGTATATGCACATACACACCCACATTTATCTCTCCCTCCCTCCCTGTCACGCACACACAACCCTTCGGGAAATCAACTTCATATCCGGATCTGAAATAATCCCCCCCCCAATCATATGAGACTTTCCTTCCAAAGAAATACATTTGGAATCAATCAGCGACAACCTCTCTCCACCTCCCAAAGTCTATTTAAGCTCGCAAAGCTGTGTCAAGAGATGCCCCCACGTTAAATGCACACTTGCTTAGAGGTAAGCCCACTGATATTCAATGGTGCTTCCTTCCAAGTTCTGCGTAAATTGTACGCACGATCCGGGTTTTACCAGATCCAAACTATCATAATGCATGATCACGAGCATTGCACCGTGCTCTCGCTGCTGTTGGAAGTCTAGCTTGTAAGTTTTTTAGCCAGAAACTAGCTGGATCCGAAAGGGGTGGGTAGCAGGTATTCCTTCCAGCCAATGGTTAATGCTGGGGGGGGCGGGGGGTGGAAGGCATTTCTGGACCCCTCTCCAATCTATTAGCTTCAGGGAGGTAAAGGGTTAACAACCCCTGAATGCACATCAAGCCCAAAGCTACTGGGAAAGAATATGAAGGGGAATAACCAGGTCCCCCCCCCCACTCACTCTCTCTCTCACTCTCTGCAGCCGCTGGACCTTATTGAATGTCATTGAAGAAAGTTTTGAATGCCAGATAAAGAGAGGCGAATTAAACTGTGTGACAGCGGAGGATAAGCAAACACAAAGGGAACTCTGTCACACTTTGGGCAAAATCCGTGGGCTTTTTACCAAGCCTCTTCGCTATGATTGAATTAAGTAATAGGAAAACATTTTCTTTCAGTTTAGAGCCATTAGACAAAAACTTCAAAGCCAAGAACACTTTTTAATGTGCAGCCCCCAACAATGAAAATCTCTGGTTTGTGGCGAAATGTTGAAAATGGGTTTCTTGTGCAAAAAGGGGGAAAATACACACACACAAAAAACACCCCACCAACCCAGCCTGGAAAAAGGCATTACAGCAAAACAAGGCTCTCTGTCGCCAGCTTCGGCGTTAGGGGAGCTGGAAGTGAGGGAGGCTT